GGGCGAGGATTGAGGGGGCAGTGAGATATCTCTTCAGATATCTGAACTCTTGAAAGTTTGAGACAGCTGAAGTCATATTTAAAAGTATAACAAGCAAAGAAATGAGATTACATGTTCATAAAATTAGCTCTGTTGTGAAGGGATTTCGAAGAGTGATCCATTGCGCAGGATAACTCGTGCCACCAATGCTAGCATCATTATATAGGAAAATATTGTGTAGCTTTCTTATAGATATGACGCTGACGAAACCTGCTGCAACGTATTCGGCAAATGATATGAATCATGTTCATCATGCAGAAGATGGAATATAAACCGAAAAATAAATTCAATACCATTTGGAATGCGTGCTACCGAGTCTCGTTGATGGCAACCTTGTCATCACGGGCGCAGTATATTGCGGGACTAGAACGTGAAGAAGGGGTGGAGGTGGGCTTGTGCGAATGTTACTTGGGATGGGATGGAGTGGGGTGAGGTGTGGTTAGCATGGGGGGAGGGGTGCGGATATTTTGGAGTCAGGAGACAGTTACCCGGAGTTGGGCGGGTGTTACTGGAGGTTGGGTGAAGTGAAATGTGTTGAAGATGGGATTAGGGTGCGGTGGGGGTCCGTGTGGTGGTGTGGGGGCAGGTTTGGGAAAGGGTGGTGTCGGGTGTGGGTTACCGGAGGTGAGGTGAATTGAGCGTGGGGTGGGGCGTAGTTGGTATTGGTGTTGGGTGAGGGTTACCCGGGTGGAAGTGAGCGTGGAAAAGGGACGAATTGTGCGAATGTTACCCGGGATGGGATGGGGTGGGGTGATGTGAGGTGAGATGAGGTTAGCATGGGATGGGGTGCGGATGTTTTGGATTTAGGAGATAGTTGTCCGGAGTTGGGCTGGGGTTACTGGCGGTTGGGTGATATGAAATGAATTGAAGATGGGATTAGGGTGCGGTGGGGGTGCGTGTGGTGGTGTGGGGGCAGGTTTAGGAAAGGGTGGTGTCGGTTGTGGGTTACCCGGTGTATTGAGCTTGGGGTATTGGTGTTGGATGTGGGTTACCGTGAGGTGCGGTGAATTGAGCTTGGGGTATTGGTGTTGGATGTGGGTTACCGGCGGTGCGGTGAATTGAGCTTGGGGTGGTATTGAGGTTGGATGAAGGTTACCCGGGTTGAGGTGAGCGTGGACAAGGGACGCGAGAGCAGTGTGCAGTGTGTAGCCCGCAGCCTGGCGCTCACCTCTGGCCCGCTGCCACACGATGGTGGGCTCCGGCACGCCCTGCGCCTGGCAGTGCAGCATGACGTGTCTGTTGCGCTCCACGGCCACATCGCTGGGCTCCACCACCCAGCGCGGCGGCACTGCGACAGGGACGCGCGCCTCAACGCCCGCCCCGCCCCGCCCCACCCCTCGGCCCCCCGCTTACTTGGTACTCTACTCTAGACTGGTATTTGCAATTTATATATATATATTGTATCTCACAACACTTGACCACTAGGTATTTAGATTTATCGGACACATTGCTCACAAATCTTAGGCAACACTCAAGGTTGTTTTGACAAATTAAAATGGGTAAGCTACTATTTACTTGGTGAGAAAAAACGCTGCAAGAAGCATTTTTACATGTGAGGGAAGCTAAAAAGAACGGTAAAATATTTAAAAATCTTTTATAATAGCGATATGTAAATAGGATTGATTAGGAAAAAGAAGAGAAACAGAGAAAAGCATAAAAAGGGCAAAAATAGAAAAACATGCAATAAAGATCAAAGAGAAGAAGATAAATAAGAAAAATATGAATGAAAACTTAAAGACGGTGCAACAATCGATTACCTTGTGAAACAAACCTGGGGGGGCCGCTCACCGGTGCATTCCCATGTGCCAAAGCAACGGAAACGTAAAGACACGGCGGTTCTCGGGTTGAAACGGGGAAACGAAAAGTTTAGCGAGAAGTAAAAGAGCAAGTGGTTACCTTTGACCAGCAGCTTGGCCGTGTACCTGACCTCGGCGGCCGGGTTGGAGGCTACGCACGTGTAATCGCCCGAGTGGGCGGAAGAGAGGCTAGAAATGCTCAGGAGGCTAGTGTAATTGTCAAGGGTGGAGACGAGTACGCCCATGCGCGGCGATAGCGCGCCGCCGTCCTTGAGCCACGTGAAGGCGATCGGGGAGTCCCCGCGGCTGGCGCTACACATCATGCGCGTACGCATGCCCTCGGAAAGCCCGTCTTGGAAGGAAAAAGGCTCAATTATAGGAGGAACTGAAAGATTAGAAGAAGAATAAAAAACATGAGAGCAGAAAAAGAGAAGTAGAAAAGTAGCTGCGTGACGCCAATCGCTGTTTACCATTGACCATGAGCTGCTGGGTATGCGAGACCTCTGCCGCGAGGTTGCGTGCGACGCAAGAATAGTTGCCATTGTGCTCTGGAGACAAACTTTCGATCAAGAGAATACTATTGAACTGATCCACTTGGGTGACGGACACCCTCTGTGCGGATTCGATGGGAGTACCGTCCTTGAGCCAGCTGATGGTCAACGGGAGGTCCCCCTTGGTGACGGAGCACGTGAGGCTGGCGCGCTCGCCCACGTGCTGCGTTCTGTCAGAGGTAAATGGGCTAAGTTTGGGGGGAACTGGAATTAACAAGAAGAAACGCCGTTGAGAGCTGGGGGTCCCCGACGGCGGGAGGCTCCGCGAGGGGCCGGACGAGGAGCGGAGCGGAGAGCGGAGGCGGAGGCGGAGGCGGAGCCTGCCCGCCCCGCTCCGCTCCCGGCCCGCTCCCGCCCTGACCTCCGCGCCGAGCGTAAGCGCGCAGCGCGGCCGCGCGGCGGCCCTCACAAACTGCTATCCTCCGGCGACCCACCGCCGCTGCCGGCGCCACGCCGCTCTTCCGGAACCGCCCTCTCGGTGCATCTTAGTGGTTCTTCTCAGCGATCCTGCTAATTGATCCCACTAATTGGTCCTCGTCGCGGTAGTTCTCAGCGGCCCCACTCCTGAGTTCTCTTGAGTTATTGTCCTGAGTGGTTCCATTCAGCGGAAATCAATGAGCCTCTTCAATGGCTCCTCTACTCGCCGGTATGCATGCATCTTCTTGGAGTTTACTTTCTGAGCGTCCTCTGTCTAAATATTTTTCTTCATTTTTATTCAATGATTTTGGCGTACTATGCACCACATGACATTGACTTTTTCCACGGATATATTTAGGTTTTTATATTTATCATTTTTAAAGATTTTGTGGCAGAAAATATTAAATTTTTTATTATCCGTAAACATAACATTACGATTGTGCATTTCATCTAACTTTTGTCATAACTTTTCAATTGTGTTACCGCATTCAACAATTAATTTGAAAATGTATCCAATGCTCAGTTGTATGTAATTAATAATGATCACGAAAGAGCAGTCCTTATGGCATAAGCTTCGCCTTGCATCACTACGCATTAACGACGCTTGTAAGTCAACTGAATGGTCTTACGAATGCTTTTAGTACCAGAGGTGTTTCCCAAAGAAAAATGTTTTTATTAAAATCAATGACATTTTATCAATAGTGTTGAATTGCAGTTGGAAATGCGTCATTTTACCGTCATTTTCTAATTGTAATTGTTGATTGTAATTTCTCTCACTTGTTTTGACGTTTTCTCCTGCAGCTATTTTACGGGATCATTCAATATTTTGTAACTAAAAGTAATTTTCAAATTTATGAATATTTTAATAGTCAATTATTGGTACCTGTTAAACGTTCTATTTCGTACCGAATGGAAATATTGCAAGAACTGTCGCAAGAAGTTAACCCAAGAGAAATCATTCAAGCGCTGAGTTATGTGTGCTTACCCTAGACTGTAATGAACAATGCTTGAGTGAATGCTTCTCAATACTTCTTTTAAATGAACCCGAATAGCCGTATATAAAATTTCAGCAGTATTTTGAATGAGTTGTAAAATTTGTGATATCGTTTTTCTTTTTGATTTGATGCATTCTGCGGAAAGATTCATGCATTTATTTAGATATGATTGTGGAAAACGTTTGGTTATGTGCACTTCTTTCTTCACTTGTGATTTCTTGATGCTGACACTATAAATGATAACTATACATAAGATTTTTTCTTGGTGTATTAACAAGACATCACTTATTGTAATCCTGAATAATATATTTATACTTACCAGTGCAAGAAATATAAAAAAAACATGGCAAATACAGAAACACAAAATACGTTCGTGTAACTTCACGTATGATTAGACCTGCATACTTGTATTTAATAATTGAATACATTTAATTATTAAGAACTTGTATTTAGACATCTCAACAAAATATTACTCAGAAATGTTAAATAAATTATATTGGGCTGAGCTTTTAATTTGTTATAATATTTTGAAATATTGTTTACTTGTGAAAACGCTATACGTTTTTTAAATCAAACTCACAAGGCTTTGTCAATTTCGCCGAATTACAATTGCAGGATTTAAATGAAACGTGCTAGGCATATCGAATATCTGTCAATGCATAATCATATTAACTGGCTTTTTCTGTGGAATATAGCGCTCCACGTGTCTGCAAAAGACTTTATGCGTACAACATATCAAAAGTATTGTGTTACGAAATGTTAATTTTTATTGAAATAACGTTGAAAATTTAATTCAGAATTGCGGTTTGTTGAATAAATGATTGTGTATCATGTTCATTTCATTTTTTAACAACAACGAATATAATTTTTCTAAATCTAACAGTCTAAACAAATCAACGGAGTATTTTTACTTTATGTAGCTGTTGTACTTCTGTCTTTTCAATACTTGTTCAATTTAATAACGCGCAACTAGTATTTCATGGACGGGTTCATAATCGCGGCACGTGTAACTTGACATAATAATACACGAAATGCTTTCATTTATATATCTTATTTTACAAAACATATTTTAAAATAATTTCATAACTCTAAATTATAAATCTTTTTTGTTCCAATTGTAGAAAGAATATACGAGACGTTTGCAATAAAACAGCTCATTCCATTATTTCCTGTACAATTGTTTGCAAATGGAGTGAACTGAGTAAGCGTATCATACCTAATCACAAAATATGTCTGTTTCACTCTTCGGGTAACTACTTATCATTAGCTTTTTTCCTGCGATTTCATGTCGCTTACTTAATTTTATTTCCGAGAATTAACATATTTCTTGCACTGGTTTTCTCTCTATACAATTTCTTCGTGCCAGAGGGTTTGCATGTTTCATGGATATGTTCAATAAATATTCGTTCTATTCTAATTATACGTTCATGTATAATATCACGATACAACGGTTAAATTCAACATCTCTAAGAGTGTTTAAACAACTGATTTAAAATAGCTCCATATAGCACAAAGAATGTTTATGGTACTGTGTTCCACGATCAAATTTAAAGCCAAAACCAACATGAAATAAGGCCATGTTACATAATTCGCATCATGCAATAGGGCCATGTTACCACGAACTGATTCCAAAGGGAAAATATTGTTTCACTGAAGAACATATTATTGGGTGTGCTATGTCGTGGAAAACAGTGAAAACTATTAATGCAAAATAAATTTATAGCAAGCATATCTACTAATGGTGAAACGTGATAATGATTTTTTATTGATAAGAAAAAGTGGTCTAGTCTGACTATGCGAAATTCTTTTTGTCGGAAAGTGATGTTAGCATTCAGAGAAAGTAGATTGATACCAATTGCAATTTTTATCTTAATTGTGGATAGCGATATAAAAATACGCTGTTCACAATCTTATCATATTTGTATGTATCCCAGTAGTTTGGATACGCGTTGTTTACTTAATAAAATCACATATATCTTCGAACTATATTCGTATGTTTAGTACGACCATATATTGATCTGCAGTGATATTAGCGCATATTAACAAACCTTTGTATTCATCCCTGATGATAATAAAAATTAAAAAAAAAAATCACTTGCAGACTTTTCTTATAGTTACATCCTTAATGTATGATAGAGGATGTCAGAGAAATCTTTCTTTAAATAGATATACTTGCTATCTCAGTATTTTATTCAAAGTGGCAAACAAGTCATATTTCATTCACCACTGCACAGCAAACACGATGAAAATGCATTATAATTGCAAAAACATTATATTTGTCTACAGCAGTTCTATTTGCCACCATGAATGTAATATTTTGTTCACATTTTCGCTAAATTAACATTTAGTTACAACGTTCAGGGAACACGCACAGTCCTTGAATGAATGCAATTCGGAAACGTGGTTAGCACGCTACATATGTAGAATGCATCCGTCACTGTGAGAGTGGAAGATTTGCAGTTCCAAGAGCTGTAGTTGGAATTGAAGTGACGTTAACCTACACGATTAAATTAAATAAGTGTTTCAGTGAAAACGTAAAGGTTTTTAGAATTAGCAACATTAACAAGCATGTCCTAAGGACGTAAGTAAAATATCGACATCTTATTAATTATGAATTTGATACAACCAGCTCTCTTCTTGTAAAGTGGCGGAGGATGTACTGTATATTGAACTGTGCGTATACCCTGAACGTTAACTGAACGCTACCTCGCAAGAAGACTGTACGAAGAGATAAAGCGGTCATGCGGATAATGCGGTCAAACCAAGGTGATGTTCCATCTCTTTATCACCTTGTGCAGGGGGAAAAGTCTACATGTACTGGCTACTTCACGCTGATGACAGGTCGTATGTTGACAAAGATGTTAGGATCAATTATCAAGAAAGAATGTAACCCAGACAGCGCATATATGTTTTTAGCTTTCCAAACTTGCCCACACCTTTGTTTGCTGCTTAAAAATAGTCCCTTCGTATAAATATACACATAATTACATTTACTCAACGTGTTCATCAAAAGTGGAGTAAATACACGTAGATTTAATGGTGAGACTACTTTTATCGCTTAAAAAGTGTATTTTTGTAAAAAAAATTGGAAAATATCTATATATAACTATATTTTAAAACAATTTAAACGGGATAATAGGAGCTTCTGCTTTTCCTCGAATTTAAAATTATGAACCTATAATATGGTGGAAAAATTCGGCTTTGGTGTGATATTGATTCGGTTTTGATGTGATAATCTCAAAGTGAATTAGAATGGACGCATGATCTTTTTTTGTGAATGTTATACTTCACAAAAACGCTCACTGCAGCAGTTTTAATTAAATGAAATCGTTTGAGTGTATTTCGAGACGGTGGAAATACGTAGTTTTTTTCTTTCGCGGACAAATGTTCCCGGATATTAATGTTTCCTATATAAATGTTGAGGAACGCTAACCTGAATGTTTGGCTCTTCGCTGGTTACGGTAGGTGGATGCACAAAGCGAAAATGCATTTACCGAATTAGCATTTACCGAAACGTCCAACAATCTACGTAACCTATCTAGGCTAGCAGAGCGCTTCGCGACGCCTTGAATCACGAATCTATTAACTGTTTGTTGAAATAATAGGTTCTAGAAGTCACTCTGTAGTAAACACGTTCGAGAGAATGTAGCTTCTGTTAGAACTTGATATACCTCAACGTTTGTGATAGAAGCGATTTTTAACACATCTGTAACGTTTTGACCTAGTGCAATCACTTCACGTGCTCAATATAACAAAATAGTCGTTAAGCACAAAACGAAGACGTCCTAGATCATAGATTCATGTTAACTGCGACCACATGAGATTTACGTGTGTAATATTACTTTAACCTGCTCCCTAATGGGATACGTGTTTAGAATGTATCGCTGCTTGTGAAGACAAATATACGATTTCTAATTTAGCGGGAGCAGTTATTGTACTTTCGAAATATCAGAAGGAACCATGTATTCGATCCAAAATACATCAATTTAACCTTCAATCACTGGATCGAAAAGATTGGGCCATTAGATCCAAAAACTCTCTGTTTTGATCTTACGCTTCCACGCTGCGATGTAAATAAATAAAAAGTATCATTCAGGTTGAATGTGAAAGGTTTGGCAGGGGTAAAAGTATCTGGGTCTCCTAATAAGTAAGTATTTGTATGTAATAAAAAAGTTAATGATATTAATGTAATTAAAAATCCTATGATACCCTTGAAACTGAAATGTGGATGAAATGGAATTTTATCTAAGTTGCTATTAATTCCTGTATGTGAATGTGAAGAATCGAGTTAGTGTGGCGTTATCAACTGCAAATCCACCTCATACTCATTGAACGAGATCAGTTCCTAAGTATGGAATTGCTCATAGATGACTCTGCACCTATTTTGAATCTACTCGTGAAAGGCTCCCTGCTGTGACGGGAATCTTAAGGTCGCCTAGGAGACTTTATGCTTTGCATATCACTAAAAGAAACGTTTGAAATACAAATTCAAAGGGGCAATGGCCTTGTGGATTTCAATAATTTAGTAAAAATAAAAATATTTCAAATACATATTCAAATACCTTCATCACGATGGCTTAAATGTTATTAAACAGTGAAAATGTATAAAAAGTCATTATGTAATAAAGAATGAAATCAGAGAGGCCACTTTTCCAATTGACAAAATTGTCTCGAAGAATGTCCGGCAAACGCCATCCACATTTTTCGCCGTGCCGAGGAAGCAACTTGGTGCGAAGGGAGTGCTGCTTCCAAGTGGGTTCGCTGCCTTGTGTGTACGAGAAATGTACGAGATCGGCTCGAAGCTGCCACGGAGAACACGGAGAGGTTGAAGTGGAGGAGGAATCACGGATTTCACAAGGATATACTTATGGAGAGAGGTGTAGCTTCGAAACGTAAATTATGAGAGGAAAGTCTAGAAAGTAGTGTAGAGACCGGCCGTTATGTTATATTAACTAATTGTATATTCCACTTCCCATTTTTTTCAATTTTGATTGTTTGTTTGAACCTACAAAACATCATATTCCATGTGAACATCTATTTTTTTTTTGCGCATCCCGAAATTAATATTTCAATTCTCCAAGATTCTCTTAAGAATTGAGCGAATCATTTGAGAGTATGCAATGTTTTCATGTGATGTGATATGTTAGTGCAATGCAGTTTTAAAGTAATGTGGTATAATTTCTTGTATCACATAACTTCTAATTGGAGACACTGCATTGATCAAGTCAAATATGTTGACTTTTTCGTTGCGGAATTGGAAAATGGAAATAAATGTTTAGAAACAAACGACAATTGGTCACGTTTATTAATTAATTACTGTTCGAGCACGCATCAACTGCTAAGGTCGTTAGTGCCGTACGTTTAGTGCATGTTTATAATTCGAGAGGTGACGGTAATCTTCTCCAGCTGGGTAGTGAGATTCGGCGCCGTCCTATACATCGGCATACGGGGTTTTCCCCAGCGAGGTGTGTCCCACCAGCGGAGCACCGCCACAGCCGGGACAAGCTCTAAGCTCTTAAACTGATTATGAATTATTATTATTATTATTATTATTATTATTATTATTATTATTATTATTATTATTATTATTATCATCATTATTAGATCGAATGCGGTTCGCGGCCTGTTTGTTAGGGTACTGCTCCAGCATTCGCTTGGTGGTTATAGGAGAAACCACGGAAAACTGCGGAGGAGAACAGCGCCCGCGAAAAGTCTCCAGAGAGCGGCTGAATTTGATCTAGCTATGTAGCAGATGTCGACAATCCTGCCACCATCCTGACGCGAACCCTAGGATGAGCGCGGCGATGATGTGACGTTTAGCGTATCGGACTGTTGTACCCAAGTTGGCGGGTTCAAACCCGATCAATCAGTTCAAACCCGATCGAAGACGTGGATTTTTAAGGGCGAAAAAATTCTTCGTACGCCTTCCTTCGGAGGGGAAGTAAAGCCGGCTGTCCCATGTTAGTAGATTTACTTGCATGTAAAAGATCCTCAAACCTAAATGATGCCTCGGAGCTAAATTCAAAATCGCCTGTTTCTCGCCCAAGAAATACCTCCTTGCTCTGCTAGTTGGTGAAAGGAGCGTAGCGAAATTTGCGTGGTCAGACGGATGAGCAGCTCTGATGACCTGAGTCTCGCCACGTGAAATAAGGCATCAATTCAATTCAGGACTCCCGGTCGGAGGCACTGCAGTCAATACAACTGGCCACTAATTAATGTAATATACTATTGGTGATTAATTACTGTTATTGTAATGCTACAGTAAATGAGTAGCTCTTCTTAATTGGAAACCAAAACCCAGAACAGCCTGCGGCAGGGCCTCTCTCCGTCGCACAGTCTTCGGGCGGGCCGCGCCAGTCGACGGGCTTGTCGCATGCGGAGGGGCTGCGCGCCGCCACTTACCGATGACGGACACCTCGCCGTTGCGGCGCGCCTTGTGGCCCTGCTTGTTGCTGGCGAAGCACGTGTACACCCCCGAGTCGCTCGCCTGCTGCACGTCGTTGATGATGAGCGTGCCGTCCGACAGCACCTTCTGGCGCAGGTTGTCTGGCAGCTCGCGCCCGTCTGTAAAAGAAAAGAGCTCGTCATTTATTATACGGGAGTATGAGGTATGTTTATCTTCGTGTAATGTTTATTTACTAATCTATTTATTTATTTATACATATAAAAGCAGAAACATACATATAAAAGCAGAATGTTAAACAAATATAATTACATAATAAAGAAATGAAATTAATAACAGACTAAAAACTAGCTTGTAAAAATGCCTATGGAACTATTAATGAGAATCATAAAAGGAGTAAATAATGTGGGTTGCCAAATTGATAATCCATGTTCTCAATTGTTCCGTATTTTATTTAAATTACTCCTGTTACTAAATCCTACTACTAAATTATTCTACTAGTATACTAACTACTACTATACTATACTCTACTATTATACTACTAAATTACTCCTACTACTAAATTATTCCTGTTTTACTTAAATTATATTTCTTAAGTTCTTGAGATAGAATATTAAAATGTTTGAAGAATTTGATTTGCTTTAGTATCATACAATATAAATGCAGGTTAAATTGTTTAATACATCACCAACTTTTATCAGTCAAAGATTATAAAAAGGTTCTGTTTTACTACCAGTTAAGACGCGTCTTTTACTTTCTGAATAAAAAAGTCGGTTATGTATAGTGGTGGCAACGATTCATAGGATTTTTCTGTTATTGTACAGGTATAGTTTTTTTAATATATCTGCATATTGGCGACCATAATTCCTTTCTATACTTGAAATTGATCGAAAATATTCCAGTGTTTAATGAACATTCTCAATACAGTAAATTAGAAATTACTCCATTAAAATACTTGACTTTCATTGGTTCATCGCACATCAAATTTCTGGGATTATTACAAATTTATCTTCGTTTTATTTCCTACTCCCATTGATTAAAAATGGGAACGTTGAAACACCTATATACAAATGCCTCGGAATAAATGCTAAAAATATCTAGGTAGAGTTGAGGGGTTCAAGGTCACTTTCTGCCCAGGATTTAGGTACGTACACGAAATCTCTTTTGCATTAAAAGTTGCCTACCAATCAGGGACAGATGTTACATGTGGACCTTTAATATTAAAATTTTTTGCCATGCTCATTAGCAAATTTTCGCAACTCGCTACACATCCTGCACGTTTGTTGTTTTATTCTGAGACCCTCTGTATTTTTTACGTTTGTGGTCTTTCAGTGTATTGAAAAAAAGGATATTTCGGTTATTTAACTAGCTTTAAACTCTGTTATTATTTGTGAAGTTACTGTAGTATGATACTGGTTGAATCCCTGCGAAAATTTCGCATTATGAAACTAGTCTGTATTATTGACTCAACACATGAGTGCTTAAATATTTATTGGAATATTAAGTTATTTTATGCAAATCTAAAGTCCCCAAGAACTTGCACGACGTACTCGTAAATTGGTAACAAAATGCCGACACCCTATATATTTTTTTAAATGGTTCATCGAAAAATATTACGAGTGTATTGAATAAAATATAGGGAAGAATGTAATTATTTATAGGGCTTGAATTTATTTTGCTGAGCAACGTATTTATTGTTGTATTTAACGGCACATGATGTCTCAACAATTTAATTCAATAGGTCTGTATATGGTATTCGGTTTTAGTTCACTTTCTGGCGTACAGGTTTAAGGATGGCTCTTTTCAACGGAGGTAATCAGAAATGGTGGCACTGTGACGTGCCAAAACATTGCGTAAACAAACCATCGAAAATATTTTTTAATTTCAATTTAAGTTTAACACAGTTGTTTCTGCTCTCTGATTTTTTATTTTTACTTTAAAATATCTCTACTATCTCATTTGCTGAGAGGAGAGAAATAATTGCTCATATTTCGAACTTTTCATAAAACTGTTTCGTGCCACGAACTTCATCAAAACTCTTGAGATATTTGCCGAGATTCATTTGCATAATGATGTCTGAAAATTATTTATTCATGAGAAATTAGTGTAAAAATTTTGAAAGCTTTATTACTAATTGTCGAATAATTGAGGAAACTTCGCTTTTCTACAATGTTTTGTTATTATGGAATATGAGAATAGTAAACAGCAACTTAAAATAAGGAACGTCGTTTGGTGCGCGAGGCACGTTTATTAATATTTAACGATTAACGAAGATTTGGAATTAGACAAAAGTGTATACAGATTTGTTATGCAATTTTGCAAGAAAAGCAAAAACTGTAATTAACATATCAAACCATTTTTCCGAAACTTTATCAATTCAGACAATATCAATATTACTGGCAAAATACTTTTTTCAAGAGTTGAGACTGATTATCGTCCTTCCGTTTCTTGGCTTTCTCGATATATTTAGTTTTATTTGAAAGAGAGTAAATATTATGGTCATTGTGTGAAACCTTTTGTACCTCCATGAAGATTTTTCTCTTGCTTTTAACGGTAGATGCAATATATTTACTCCATTTTTGCCCCGAGTGTACGGCCAAAGTTGGAAACGTATCCCAGTAGTGACAAGTCATTGAGATTGAGATGATTGATCATTAAATAGATATATAGGTTTTTTTTTAAAATCAATATTTGCGTGGGGTTTTGTTTGATTAATCTCCCTCTTTTTGTAATACGTTTGTCTTACGATACGTATTTCGTAAATAACTATTAACATTGATATGCAGGGAGCAAATTGAACACAGGAACTTCGAGGTATTAGGTATGGAATTTTAACATTACTATTTTGTCAAGAATTCCTGGTAATATTGAATTATATTACTTTTTCCCAGTAAATATGGTTCAGTGATTTTAACGCTTAGCTTCTTCGAGAATTCCCATCTTTAGTTGGGGCCTCTCCAGAACACTTTTTATATTATTTTAGTTTAGAATTCTGACACTAGATACACCAGAGTAATACAAGACCACTATAATGGTAAACTGATAGCAAATCCGAAACAGCGGTGCATATTATTCAATGGGATAAAAAGTAAGTAGTTTTCTTCATTCAGCCAAAGTACAGAATAGTTGTAAAGAATCCCACATGGATGAAATAGTACTAGTTGGCAGAGTAACCGTCATACACGGAGCCGTACCGCGCTTTGCAGTATACACAGTAGCTTCCTTTACTATACATACGTAGAAATAATGCGATACATGTAAATGTAATAAGTAATTCTTTACTTAAAACTATGTTTGTTACTCAAAATGCGAAGTTACTTGGCAATTATCGAAGACTCGTGTCCAGTGAGAAAGCCATACCAGCATTAATTTAGTTTTAAATAATGGCGGGCAGAGTAATTATTGAGCGTAATGTGAAGACGAAAATTAATCATAATCGACAAAACGTAATCATAACTTTAATATATAAATGATGTGTAGTATGTAGTTCATAATATTAAGACGTTGGATTTAAATTGATATTAGGAGTTGCACACAGTCAATCGTTTATTGTGCAACGTACTCGAGACTGCAAATATCGGTGTCAACGGAGCGCTGGCAATGATATCGGGTTTGGAGGAGTACGAATTTACTGTCACTCTATACTTCCAGAAGGAACAGAACAGATAATTTGTCTTTAATGATAGCTTAAGTAAATGTATTTAATTATATAACGTCAAAATTTATATACAAAAGTGAACGATTAGGTCATTTTAAGATAAATTGAGTGAGTGGTTTAAGAGAAACAACTAGAAATTCTGTAGATGTGGGAGTCACATACACATACCTATTTATGCATAGGCTAGTAGCCTAATTATGAATCGCCGATTTGGTATTTTAAAGAGAGAAAAAAATAGCATTGCAAAAGGATAATTTACACTCCATTACAATTATTCACATAACATTTTATTAAAAATTAACGAACTACGCGCTTATTAAATATATACATATGAAAATTTAAGCGTTTTATTTAAAAAACAGTTAAAAACTAATACCTACTATTGGGAGAAGTGCAATATGTGCATGGTTTCAAGAGCTTACAATGTCTAATTATAATATTGATGTCTTTTACGAATTTAATTTGAAACGAAGGAGCACACCTTCGTATTTAATGCCGGTTTTAAATGTTTGAGGAGTATAGTGCTGGACAATTTATATTATTCTCTTTTTAGATGATTTTCTTCTTCTAATTGCATTGAATAAAAGCGAAATTATCAGCTGCAATTTTACGACGAGCTCTGGGTTTGGAATAGAGGGCATAAAAGAGAGTGAGAAGTGAGGAGAGAACCCACGGCCAGGATGGGGAGATGCCTTGGGGGTGGGAGAGAAAGAGAACGGCAGCGGCGGCGGCGGCGGTGGCAGCGGTGGCGGCAACGGCGGCGGCGGCGGCGGTGGTAACGGCAACAGCGGTGGTGACGGTGGCGGCGGTGGTGACGGTGGCGGCGGTGGTGACGGTGGCGGCGGTGGTGACGGTGACGGGTGAGGCGGCGGCGGCGGTGGAGGCGGTGGCGGAGCAACCCGCATACGTGGAGAGGATGGACTGAAAGGGAAATGGCACGGTTTTAACTTCGGCACTCTCAACTTGCGATCGTCAGAGACGATATGTGCCAGAAGTTCCATGAAGCTCCCCAGAGCTGGCGACGGGAGGGCGTGGTGGGGAGAGGACTGGGGGAGGAGAGTGGGGAAGGGGAAGGCTTCGGTTGGCGGACGGGTGCAGAGGGGTAGACTGTCCCGGTGTGCCCCATCACGAACTTGCTCGCGAGCTCTATGAGCAGGCGGTGGTGAGGGGGCGGTTAAGGGAGGGCGAGGGCTTTCCAGAGGAGAGGTCGGGGGGATGGGGCAAGGAACGATATAGCCTACGGGAGCTGGGTCGCGGGAGATGCGGTAACGCTAGAGGGGGGGTGCACTGCTGCAGTTGGAGCAAGAGGTCTCAAGTGCTATCTCCCCATCACTCTATATTCCAGAAAATTGAGAGTTCCTACAGGAACGTCAGATGATACCATATGGAGTGGCGACATGAAATAATACGAGTTGACATTTAAGCGTGCGAAGTAATTTCTGACGGGCATGATAATATTTATAGTTTTTCACAATAATGTACCCTACATCAAACAGATTTGTATTTCTGGAAAGAATTGAAGTTATTGCAGAACATTAAATTAGATTACTTTATTTATATTCATCATTCTTATACAGAGTATTCCTTTGATTTTTTCCAATGAATACTATGTATATTAATAATGGTTGGAAACTTTATTCATTCTCACTAATCATATGGATGATGAGACTTTAAGATTAATGAAAAGAAATATTACGACCGTTTTGTATAATTTCTGTTCAATTTTCTACGGTAAACCAACATTAATGTAGCACATTTAATATAGAATTGTCATTTTTGAAGGTTCTCATGAATTTGGATTTTTTACCCTTTCACATTAGAGAAAAATGAAAATTGATTTATGAGTGTTGGTAAGGCTATAAGTTCTCTATTTTTGAGAAATAATTGAGTTGTTTCTCTTACTATATTTCGAAGAGCTTTGGATAATGAGTTTGCTCGTATATACTTATACAAATGTACTGCTATCACGGCCAAAAGTAACGAGCCCTAGGATCACAATCAAACTGTGTAAACTTTCCGGTTTTTTAAAAATAAGTTTCAACTTGATTTTTTGTCTGTTTGCACAATTTTTGAGCATCTTGTTGATGATGAACGAAAAGTTTAGCACCACCATTTATTTATATGATTCTTGTGGTAATGTTGCCTTATGTAGCTTAAGGCAGGCATGTCAACATCGTGCGCAAGGCAACTAGCTCTCCAGAGTTTGCGGGCACCGCGTCTAGAGCTGCTAACACAAATGTGATGTACATTAAAATTGAGCGACTAATAAATCAAATAATTGAAATATGATACGGAATTAAACATATTTACACGAAGCTTTCTAGAAACGTAAATCAAGACAGATCAATACTTCACACATTTATTTAGAATGTAAATAACACAAATGTGATGTACATTAAATTTATGTTTCCCATTTCCCGATTCATGTAAGAAGTTTTTTTAAATGACGTGTTTTTATATTGAAGGAAAGTTGTGAAAAATCATAAATCTCTGATTCAGATCACCATAAAATACCAGAAAATGGGCCTCAAATAATATAACCTTCATCAAATAATCATATCAACGATCATTCTCTGTTCTCTTAATATACATCCGTAATAATTTAAATTATTAATAAAAAAATAATAACAACCAAAAACATTTATCGCATCCGTCGAGGGCACCCACAGTTAGGAAATAAACCAAAAGTTATGTATGATTGTATTCACAACCCTGAAAAACATGTATGTTGAACAGGTAGACAATAAATTAAAAAAAAAATCTCTGAAAGGGGAGAGGAGGGGATGTAATAAAAGAAGAGGCCAGGAGGGTGAAGGAGGATACGTACTGCGTTCCCAGCGGATCTCCTCGATGGGGAAGCCGGCGACCGGGCACTTGAGGTGCAGCGCTTCGCCCGCCACGCCCGTCACCTTCGGGATGAGCCGGATGTACGGAGGACCTGCGCACGCATACACATCACTTACAGACAATTGGGCGTGAGCCATACACTTATACCAGAAACACCCCCATTCACGCTGGCCCTGTCGATCTTTTTAAGAAGCCCCCACATTTACCTTATTGATTACCATATTCTCTAATAAAACAAATATATTATCAATTATCGTGGAGATAGCTTTTGAACAAAACCACAAAAATGCTTTTCCAAAATATGATATGAGCACCGCAATGGAGTAACAAATAAACTAATTTGCCACGTTGTAAATAAACTAAATATCTTTTCACCAAAACGGTCTTCCCAAATACTACAATAACCTAGTTTTAACGTACATAACCTAGTTTTGTACATTTCTTTATATACGAAGAATATAAGAAATTGCTTGTCCATTAGGGAACACGTAAATAGCAAATATTTAATGGCGAACATCTGCCTGGCAGCCATGGCTGACAGCATTGCTCGGAAGTTGTATTTATATTTATTGATCGTATGGGGTTAACCGAAGGTGAGAAAAAATGATACATTCCTAATAATCTACTACAACTCTATCGCAGCCTTTTTAATGATCGGCGAGCTACGATCCAACAGAGAGCCCAAATGCCCTCAGTGGCGGAACTTACGCCTCCGCTTCTTAAACAGTCTTCGTAAGTGCTGACCGGCTTCACGCCGCAACCAGCAACCCCACATCACTTTTATCCAGGTTCTCGCGCGAGTGATCCTGCTCACCCCGACAGCCGTACCCAAAGCTAGTCGTACCCGCCTCTAGCCATCTTAATGGACATAATCTCGGCAATTACGGTCTAACTGGACAGTAACTAGGCGATTTTTGCACATCGACGCTTACAGATAGGCGGACCAGGCTATTGTCACGTGACGCCTGATAAACTAATCACGGTCTCTGTAGCAAACATAAGCGTTAACCGGGCTTGGTTTTTTAAACGGGGCTTCGTAATGACTACCTAATCGGTTATACTACTTGCTTCGGGTTATTAGTAATGGGAACTAATAGCCGACTGCGGTTTTCTGCAAAACATGATGTACGCCATTGAAGGAAGTGTTCGCATCCAACCTAGGAGGATGGCATCGATGAGGAATATTGAAATTCTTGTCAATTTGAAAAAAGGGAACCCTTTAAAATAAGAAGCAATTCAACGAATTTATAATTACAGGTCGACTTGGTTCTAAATTTTCGTGCAGAATTGCATTTCCTACATAGTCCATATCAATGTTCCCAAGTACACATACTTCACAATTAATAGCGGGAGTATCACATCCGGAAAGTAAACACACCTGGTCACACGTAGCAATCGCTTCTCGGTGTTGTTTTCCCGTGAACAAATGATGATCTATATAATCGAAGAACTAAATCGATTCAATCACAGAATACAAAATGGAAAAATCGATAGATGAAATCGCAAAGACGCCAATCGTATGTGTAACTAAATACTTTTCCTACCACATGTCAGCACCATATAGGCGTTAGCGTTGTGCAAAAACTCTCTCTTTGAGCTTCATACAAGATCTGACGTTAAATAAATAAATAAATAAATAAATAAATAAATAAATAAATAAATAAATAAATAAATAAATACATACATACATAAATAAATACATAAATAAATACATAAATAAATACATAAATAAATACATACATAAATACATAAATAAATACATACATAAATACATACATAAAAAAATAAATGTCTTTACTGATGGCGAGGCTCAGGTCATTTAGCCTGCTCTTCCCTCTATTTAACGGCTCATGCCACCAGACTTTGTCAATTTTTGTAATACCTTACTTTCATTTCAATTATATGCATTAATCTATTTTGTCCCTTTTATTTCTGAGTGATGATGACATCTCCAATGTTTATTTACAGCAAACGAGAATTGCATCTCTTTTTCTGCAACTGGTCTTTCGACGATGGTGAGATCATTAGAGTTAGGGAAGGAATGACGGGGTAATGATGTGTTAATAGGCAACGCCTAACAATTGTCAGTCCGCTGCAGCACACCAACTCTTCTAAAGGTGTTAATTTAAAATAATTTAGTACATTTGTCGGAAATATTTAAGAGTAGCGCATAAGCGCAACGTAAGTCTCGCTATATAAGCAGTGGCACTGAGAATGAGACAATGTGCGCAGTGTGATATTAGGCGGAAAAACACAAGAAAATATTTGTATTTTTCAGTCAAAATCGAAACAATAATTTTTGTAGTTTCCTCCTTGTTTCTGAGTGTCTAGCAAAACCGTAGACATCTCTCATATGTTCGGAGCATGCAAAGCTTTTTTAAAAATTTCTGCGCGTGTCGGGAATTAGTAATATAAATACATCACGAATATTTTAACTAACAAGTTGAGAGTAGTATAATCATCATATCATTTTGAAACAAAAGTATATTGATTTCGTAATTGAATGTACAATAAAGCGCAATTATTGCATTAACTTCTTACGTTCACCTTCAGAAGAAACATTTTTATCTGTTAAGAGAGCTGTCCGCCCGCAATTAATATGCAATAATTACTCTTATTGCAGACATTTCGTGACTTATCCTGAGCAAGTATACCTAGGGTAGTTAACCACTGCTTTTCATAGGGGCGCTAATGCACCAATTTTGAATTTAATACCAGATACCGCAGGCCTAGCTACAACATCCGCAATCTTATCCAGTATTTCAAATCAAAACTCCGATTGGTGCTAAATTGCTAGAAGATTTAATTTTGCCAGAATAGGCAAAGTGCTTTTCTTAGGATCTATTTTACAGACCGAGAAGCGTCCGGATGCATGCCGTCGATTTTTGGCTCCTCAGAAATCCCACATTGACCCCACGAACCTGGAATCCTCGAACTTGGGATCCGTGGAACTGCATGATAACCACTATACCATCAAAGCCGGTATATAATATAGTACGACCGAAAACAAGTGAAGAATTCACCATTTATACAGCGACTCTCGAAATAGGAGTTTATGCAATTAGTTTATAATGTTAAGCTTTATTGGATGAGTACATGTTTTGAAAACGAGCGACTTTAGGAGCAAGTTTTCAAATTTGTACGAATGTAATAAAACATTATAAACGAGTTGCAGACTATATTTTTTTGTATAATAGCATTATACATTTATAAGAGAATCAACCTTAATTTCGCGAAACAACTTCCCTCTGACGACTCGGGTATTTGATATCGTGCGGTGGTCGGCTGTTCCGTTTAGCAATACCTCCCCCCGATTCTCTCGCTACGATTAGCTGAATGTGTGATGACGCAATCATTCGTGACATAAAATATAATACGTCATCATTTGTGCCGTAAAATGTCCGATTATAAACGATTATTTGTAACAGAAAAGGTTATTTTATAATGCCGGAATACAAAAAAAGAAACTTAAGTGATAACGTATATAAATAAAATTCAAATTTCAGTTCTTTTCTAGAAAACATCCTTTCGTTTTGGAACAGAGCAACATGTTTTCGTACGGAGCAAACATCCCTCGAGATATTTCGAGCGCGCTTTGTCATTACGGACCCTTTCACAGTTTGTACATTTACACCCTTTCCTGGACGGGTTGTGACCCGTTTCAGCAAGAGCGTAGAGCACCCTAGGCGGAAAAGTAGCTAGTGCTGGCGCAATTCGGCTCGCCTGTGTTACGGCATGGCCTTCGGATCCCGTATCGGCTTCGTCGGGTACAAGCACAACAAAAAGGTCTGATGGCCACGACTAGGTAGCCGCAGCTTAGGCCCAAAAGCCCACTACTTGGCAAAGTTTGGTGACTCCGGCCTCTCTACTCTGGCCACCCGCAAAGACGTTACCGCACCAGGAAGGAATGGCCTCCCACATCTGAAAGGCGATGGACGGCAGTCCAGGTTTGGTCGTCGGAGCAGAGCCTAACCACTGTGCGTGGTTGTGGTAGATCAAAATGGCTTAAGAATGATTCGAATGAAGAAACACAATTAGAATCAGAAACCATTCTAATTGCTTTCTCCTATGCCAACGATGGATATGGCTAATGGTGGATAAACCGGAACGTGAATCCATCAGGCCTTCCGCGGGAGCCAATCAACCTTTGGAAGACGGGCAATTTAGTTTTTGAAGTAATCTAATTTCAAATTGGTGGTTTACAGCAGGGATGCCCATTTCGCGCTCCTGATTGAGCCCAGGCGCACTAAACACGGCGCACGCTGCGTCCGAATCCGTTCTGTTCCGATTCGCTGAAGCCGAGCGAGGAACGATGCTGCTGGGCCCCGAAGCACTCTCTTCATCCGGTGATGATCGGATTCTGTATCCACCGCGCTGGAGAGCCAGAAGCTGCATGTATCGTATTAACATTACTAATTGATATTTCACACACGGTGTTTACAGCATTTATTCTAGAGACATATGTTCCCGAACGATTCGTAGCGATTCGGGTACTTCCGCGATCCTTCGCGTCTCCGGCGCTCTCCAGCTCTCTGGCAAATTTGCTCCAAATTTGCTCCAAATTCGAGCTGGAGAGGAACGGATATCGGGCTCACCGGGTCGGACCTGAGCTGAATGGTTTGTAAGTCGCCTTTAATTAATGTGGGCAGGCGAAAGATCAGTTTTTATAGCGTGATCCTCACCTTTGACGGATTATTATTATTATTATTATTATTATTATTATTATTATTATTATTATTATTATTATTATTATTATTATTATTAATAATAATAATATTATTATTATTATTATTAATAATAATATTATTATTATTATCATTATCATTATTATTATTGTTGTTGTCTTTTATTTTCTCATTTGGTTGGTACATTTAAATGAATTATTGTACAGATTTACAACATCAAAGCACAATACATCTGTTTTTAAAAGAATTCATAGTACATTTCCAATGAATTTATTATTATTATTATTATTATTATTATTATTATTATTATTATATGTATTTATTAGCATTAGTATGTATTCGATGCTAAGGCCGAAGCAGAGCTACTCCGCACACAGTGTGTGTGCTGCGTTTTAAGGCGGGCTGATTCAAGACATCTCCAAGTAGCCGAAGGGGGAGGCGTGGCCTTCTTAAAATACACTGAAATTAAAATATTTTTATATTAATGTAATCTTGTTGAAAAGGGATTTTGTGAATTTATTTTATTATTAACAATCTAAAAATGCTATAATTATTAAAAAGTAACTCTTTTTTAATACTTTTTTACGCTTAACGCATCATGCGCAAAATACTATTTCATGTGCTTTTCCTTGTTCACATATAATTTATATGTTGCTCAATGTGAGTTTTATTCAATTGCAAAAATGTGTTGTATTATATAATTAATGCAACGCTTAAAACATAATTTTGTACTTGGATATTGTTTTCGTATTGGTGTGTCTAGTGCAAGCAGAAGGGAAGAACTCACAAACTTTAAACATCAAGATGTAAAGGATCTGGATGAAAAGATACATTACCTTAAGGAAAACGAAGATCGCAGTTGAAGGTTCATTTATTGTGGTTGGAAAGTTATATAACGTATACAACCATAACTAAAACGACACTTACAAGTTTGCGAATGTATTAGTTTTCTCTTGAATTATCGATTAGGGAACTTAAGCTCTCGTCGGACACAAGCAACGTTGAGGGTTGAAGCTGGTGGAGATACTTGATGTCAGTTACTGCGGGTTATGTCGAGGCATCTATAGCTCACAAAGGAAAAATTGGCGAGCACTAATTCAATTTTCATATCAGTATCACATACGTCGTAAAGTACGTCGAATTCCTCATCGAAATTTAATACGAATTCCAGTTATTCATCGAAAGTCGACAAATCTTATGAAGAAATAAGCTACTAAAAAACAATTCTAACATTGAACGAGTTGGTTCAAATGATTTAAAAGAATTAGAAAAAAATATTTTCTACTCGTTAGTACAAAATGTGGAAAGTTGTTCAGAATCGAAATCTATATCCGTAAATCATTGAAGAATTGGGCATGTTTCCTCTTAGTTTAATAGTTTCTCAGTTAATTTTGTTATAAATGGTCGTGATACGCAGGAAAATGTAATACAAACTTAACTAATATACGTAACTAACGTAACTAATATACTGAGATGTGCTTAGTGTATTCTTGTAATTTTATATTTAATTATTTAATTTATATTAATTTATTCCATGCGTCGCGTTTCGTTTACGGAGTGTTAAAAGAAAGTATAAGCAACACGTTCACGACAGTAATCGCACTCTTGTGACGTATTTTCATTTTTTAAAAGTGTTTGCAACGCCAAAACCGAGTACATTAGACTATAATTCTAAAGACTACGATATATTAGTAAAAGCTTCTGATGTGTAAACATAAGAATAGTCTATTATTTATACACGCATTTTATTCAATAAACTTTAGTACATAGATTTACGCTGTATCTTTCTAGGGCGTCCAACTCTTGTATTAGTGGCGAGTTCTGTCTTGTTTCTCTTCTTTGACATTGCTCATTTATCTTCGACAGTTAATTCCACAATTGTATTTCAATAATTATGATAATACAAAAGCATTTATATTTTTTTTAGGTTTCTCTGATGTTAATACTATTTAGGACGCTGTTAAATCTGGCTTCCTAGTATCTTCTTCGTGTGCTCATTTCTGTTATTTATAAATTCCTTCTGCCAGTGGATAAACCTGCTTTAACGTCTGGTGTATAAAACGGAATATGCTCTGTGTAATTGTTTAATTCCTTGGGAAATTTTTTTTGGGTTCCTCATAAACACGACAACGGGCTCTACCTTTTTTTCGCAAATTAGTCAATTGTTCCTCATCACTTGTTTCAATGCATCATGTCTGGTTAGTAACTCTGCCTTAACACCCGCTTGTGTTTTTCATTTTTAAACACATTAGTATTTCTTGACATAAAGAGCCCTGATTTTAGCTTTAAATGCTTTGAAGTACACATTTTTTATTATGCACACAATAGAAAATTGTTAAACATTTCAAACAAAGTATAAATACCAACTACACAGAGAATATACATTTAAAATGCCGTATAATTTGAAAACGGTTTTCACATTTGTCTTTTCAGCGTGGTGTGAACGCTAAGACCACCTTGCTCCTCGTGGATATACGAGCATTAGCGCTGTCCGAAAGCGTCATTAAGACCAAAGGAACGAAGGGTTTGTTTCGAAGAGAAAGTAGGAATAAAGGTGACGACTTCTTTCCCAGCCACTAGCAGAAGCGAGGATGGAAAAGGATTATGTGCTTGCGTCGTTCTCCATCGTCGGCGGGAACTAAACCCAGAAGTTCCCTCGTGCGCTTCGAATGAAACTCTCTCCTCTTCCATTAGTGCAGATACATTGCAGTACAGTTGCACCTGGAACATTTCCTTTACTTTTAATTAATTGAAACTATTTTCGGCTGATCCAAGTGGAGGTGAGGAAGCCAGCGTTTACCCGCTCGGCGAGAGCTTAAAGATGATAGCTTGAAGTTTACATCCAGCGAAGGCTCTAAATGTTAAAATTGCGTGATTTGGAAGGCATTGACATCTTTTTTATCAATACAATTCTACAATACACATTTATCTAATTGCCGTTGGAGGACGTGGAGTGTTTTTCTTTAATGATTATAAAGGTGACAATTGGTTAGGAATTGTGTGGCGGTCCCTTCAGGTGGAGGTTTGTTGTTTACGGGAGTGTAGTAAGGAAATAAGGTCGGAAAAGAAACTATCATGAAGTTTCATTAACGATGCCAGTACTGCGTCTTACGTATGGGTGAGAAAACTGGGTAAATCTAATTAAAAAGAAGCTACACACAACGGTGATTTCCAGAGGGAAGGCTCGTGTAACACTTCAAAATTCGATTCCAAGTCAAGAAATAGGACGCAGATTCTAATATTGTTTGCTGGTGAAAATAGAGAGAACAGAAAAAAGAACGGCAGAAATATATTAAGACTTAGTGTAATTGTCTGGGTGTGAAATGTTCCAATAGGCGATGGAGATACTTGTATGTCAAAGTTCTAGATTCCGTAAATGCAGTAAGACTATTCTTGCGGAAATATGCTTTTTAGCCATGTTGTTCTCTGCCTGTGAGTATATAGATACCCCCCCCCCCAAAAACAAAAAAATATAATAAAAAAACAATTTGTGGTATATTGTCAATATGTATTTTCGCTTAACTATACATGGTTTTTCAAGCGTGTACATTTACGAGTACACATTTCATTCTGTACCTTTGAAATAACATTAATGTTTTCTTTCAGACCTTTGAAAGGTATTGTAACCTCTAAATACTGAGTTAAATGCTGAAAAGCGCTAAAAATATATTTTTTTGATAAGTGAATGATCGTTTCAAAGTTGTTTGCTTCCAAGAGGGCGTTAAATACAAAATTTTACCCTCTTTAAGTCTTAGAAAACTACAATATTTTCAAGTGCTGATATAAAATGTAAGTTCAGAGAGGCACGCAACAATGTTCAATTTTAGCCTATTTTAATTTATACAGTTTTGACCGAAAAGGTGAAATTGAATTTACGAGAGATATTAAATGTCTATGAAATAAAATTAAAGAATTGTCATTGACTTACCTAGAGATAAACGAATGAATGCAAATAATTAACCATGGATAATTGGGCATTGCACGTTTTGAAGTGAGAGGTCTTCAACGATCTCTATAATATAACAGCATATTTATCACCCTGAATAGTTATATGTGAGATTCATTTCTTAAAATGGTAATAAAATTAGTTTAATTTGTACAAAATGAGTAAAATGTGTGGCGATGGTAGTGATGGTGACAAAAATGTGGCGGTGATGTTTGCCGTGGTGATGGCGGGCGCGGTTGGGGTAAAGTTGGCGGTGGAGGGTGGCGGCGGCAAGGGTGCGGTGGTGTTTGTAATGGCGGGCGCGTTGTGTTAAAAGTTTTTGGTGGTGCGTTGCGATGGCGGCAATGTGGCCGTGGTGATGATTGGCGGGCGCGGTTGGGGTTTAAAAGTGTGTCATCGATGTTGATGGTGGCAATGGCGGGCGCGGTGGGGTAAAGTTGGCGGTGGCAGGGCTGGCGGCGGGGCAAGGGTGCGTGGTGTTTGTAATGGCGGGCCGCGGTTGTGTTTAAAAGTTTGTGCTGTGTTGCGATGGCGCCAATGTGGTCGCGTGGTGATGATGGCGGGCGCGGTTGGGGTAAAAGTGGTGTGTTGTGGTTGGCAATGGCGGGCGCGGTTGGCCGGGAAAGGTTGGCGGTGGGAGGGGGCGGCGGGGCAAGGGTGCCGCGTGGTGTTTGTTAATGGCGGGCGCGGTTTTGTAAAAGTTGTGTGGTTGCGATCGGCAGGCAATGTGGCCGTGGTGGATGATGAGGGCTCGCGTG